CCTTATATTAGATGGTATTAGAAACTGGTGCCAGATGACTACTGACCAGGTGATCAGGGCTCAGTAAAGCAAATGTTATCTCAGAAGCAGTAATAGGTGAAAGTCACATCTAGTCACATTTTCTAATCCACATTTTTTGTGACCTAACAGCTAAATAAAGTTTGGTATATTGAAACCATAAGGTAATGAAACACTATGCAATCTAGTAGCATAACTTATATCATTTAATTTTAGAAATTGCTTCCAGATTCACTAATATCCCAATATATTTTAACATACACACACAAACATTCACACTGCTGTTACCTAGCTACATTTCTCTGCATATTATTCATCCTAGCTTTGGCTGATTGTAAACTTCAAATCCATCATTCAGTGATAAATATTCAAATTGCTTTGAAAGCAATTTGGAAATAGTTGTTCTCAAATGACAATTGAACAATGGAAAAAGTTAAGAAAAACAACTGGAAAAAGTTCTCTCCAAAATAGCTTCTTTTAAAAATGTACTAGATTTAAAACATTGATATATGCTGGATTCTTCTTATATTTTGAGCAGATTGATAATAATTGACAATGTAATGGATTATACTACTCTATGATTTCTTCTTTTCTGGGGAGAGATTTTTGCCAAAGGGTTTGTGCGCTCACTGGAGAAATAGAAAAAGACAGAGAGACAGAAAGCAAAAAATCACCCCCTGGGGGGATGGCCATGCTGCAATCCCTTCTCCTCAATTCTCCTCTAGGGATTATAGGCATGTGTGCACACACACCTGACATGAGTTTTAAATCACTGGGTCCAGGACTGGAACTATCGTTGACTATGTGGGAGTCCAGCAACATAACTGCTACTCCATCTGCTGGTCTCAACTCTATGAGTTCTTATCACACTCTTTGTATTGTCAGATACATATTAAACTTCTTGTGAATCTCCCATGTGTAACTCTGCCATTGTTTAAGAATGGGGAAACACTAATAAAGCAATGAATTAAGAAAGGAGAAAATGTGTGCTTAGTTTTATTAGCATGGTATGCTAAACAGCAGAGCTTTCAAAAAGGTTGAAAAAAAATCATAAGCACTTTTTGTCTCCCTCAACTGAAATGATTACGTAGACTGTCCTCTCGTGATCAGTCTCACAAAAGTTCCAGCCATGTGTTTTCCATTTGGGGGAAGCAGCTATTATAGCACTCTAGGTTCTCACTCATTTTGAATTATGCTGTGCTCTCAGCTCTTGAAAAATCCTTTAGCTCAATCCGAGGGAAAAGTGATTGTGATGTGAGCAGTCGGGATTCCATAATGGGGTTCTGTCTTTTCCAAAAAGTCATACTAATGAATGGGGAGTAGTTGCCTAAATTATTGAGAAATTGGCTGCTATTTCACTCAGAAAAGGATGTTTAAAGCCTTACAGAAAATATTTGGTACTGTAGAAGATTTCCGCTTCAGAGCTATTTCATGAAATGGACAGAGATTTTTAGAAACTTGCCTAAAAGGAAAAAAATTAAAAAGAATGTGTGTGTGTGTGTGTGTGTAAATAATATTGAGAAGATTATTATTCATATTTTCTGTATATTTTTAAAGAAGTGGGTTTTTTTTAATTATTATTATCGTTTTTCACTTTGACACAGAGAGGGGGAAAATAAGAAAGCAAGCTGCCAGGTAAAAGACTTGAGCCATAGTCTGTCATGTGTGAATACAGTTCCTTAACCACCATTCCATCTTCTGACCCCTATTTCATTATATTTTATACTATTAATTCTAAATCATTTGACTAATAGAGAACACTATTTGTTTAAATAATCAAAAATGATGGAAACTTCACAAGTTGGAAACATTTCATATCTATAATACTTGCTACATGTTGTTGTCTTTTATTCATGAGAGCGTATGCATGTTTGTGAGAGACAGAGAAAGAAAAAGTGCCTTCAAGAGGGTCTTATCACACCTACAATGATTATTTTGTATTTATTAATAGCTTAATTTTATTTAGTGTTTCTCCTCATTTTTTTTCTACTTTATCTAATAGGATTTTTGTTTTCTTATTAATTCCCAGTACCTAGTACTATTTGGACTCACAATGAGGGAAAAGGCCTGAAATAACATACTGTTGTGCAAAAGAAAATAACATTGCTAGTCCATAAAACTATCTCAGGAAATGAAGTAGAACCTTGTAAAGAAATCCTAGTAAGGCGAGTCATAAAGATCTACATCGCCTATTAGAAATTGTCTTCCTGAGGCTGAATGGTGCAGCAGTAAGATACAATGCTGTTTGGCTGATCTTCATAGGAATGAATGTCCTGGGTTCTCACCCGAAGAGAGTATGACCTGTACATAGACTCTTCCATGTACATATGTCCAAGATTCAGGGCTGGATGAGGCTAGAGATGGATTGCCATGTCAAGAGCTGTTGGAGTTGCTGTCTCCCTGTCTTTCTTACTCATGGAAGAAAAAAGCACACTTAAAATGAATGAATGAATTTGAAAAATTGGCTGTAATGGCAAACTAAGAAAACTTAAAATTTTACAGAAGCAATTGATTCATAAAGTTGCTTTTCATCTATCAGTTCTTCTCATATACAGGTAAAATGAAGCAATCATCAAAATATCTTAGAATTTCATATTTTTGAGAGAATTTATAGGTCTTCCCAAACAGCTACCATTCTATGGGATCATGTTCATGTTGCTTGGTTTACACCACATCCAGGTACCTGGATTGAATGGCTTACATTGAGCTCAGAAATTTATATGAAAAGAACTCAACAAGTTTAGGACATGTTAAAATATATTAATGTATCTCTTTGGTTATTATATGATTTAATTGTAAACTATTTTATAGACTTGAAACAATTGCTTAGTTATAAATTTACCCAAAGTGCTACATGTTGAGATATAGAAAGTATTGTGCAAACACAATTCCTAATCTAAATAGGAATACAGTTGAGTTGTTGCACCATACAAATTATTTATGTGATAAGATTCTCCTATAATAAAGTTTATATACACCAAGTAAATAATGTAAGAAATTAGGGAAAATATTTTAGTATTTTGGTTTGATACCCAGGTAAGTTTAAATTCAAGTCTCTTCTTCACTGCTAAGTAGCTGTATAACCTCAGTAAGTTCCTTACCTTCACTGTGCCTCACATTTTTTCACTTACAAAGGATCATATAACTTTAATGTTACAGGGTGATGAAAATTAGAATGGAATTAAACTTGAAATCAGCCACTGAAAGATCTCTCAGAAAATACACAAAAACATGGAAACTAAACAATCTCAGAAGATACACAAAAACATGGAAACTAAACAACTTAACTCCTGAAACGCTTCCAAACTACTGAAGAAATTAAGACTAAAATCACTATTCATTGAAATCAATGATAATGAACACACCACTTTCCATAATCTTTGTCACACAATGAAATCAGTCATTAAAGGGAGGTTTATAGCTACTAGTACTCAAAGGAGAAAATTAGAGAGGTGACATGTAGATGACTTAAACATCACATCTCAGGCAACAACAACAAAAACACAAAAATACCAAGAAAGGAAATAGAAAAGATTAAAGCTGAAGTAAATGAAATAGAGAATAAAAGAACTATACAAAAAATCAACAAAACAAAAAGTTTTTTGAGAGGATAAACAAAATTGACAAACCATTAACTAGACTAATCAAGAAAAACAGAGAAAGGAACCAATAGATGATATCAGTAATGAGACTGGTAATGTGAAAAACACTATGTCAAAAGAATACCAGAAACTGAGAGAGGGGACTGGATGGTAGAGGGCAGGTGGGACCGACAATGGAAAAAAAAACCTTTAACAAAAAAGAATGCAAAGTTTTCTGTAGAAAATGATGTATATGGTAATATGATCAATTCAAGTGTCATGTATTATATGCCTATTTTGAAACTATATTATGCATTATAAGGATGTACAATGATGGAATGTAAATTTAAAGATAAAATAAAAAGAGAAATAGAAATAAAAAAAGAGTCAAATGGACCTTGCATTACACACACACACACACACACACACACACACACACACACATACATAGTATTGGTATGCTTATTTCAATAGAAATTATGATTCTGTCTTGTCATTCATAAATGTTCTGTTAGACAATGTGCAATAGAAAACTTTATCTTCAGCTTAAATTGTATTGCTACAGAAGAGTTCACTGAACGTCTGAGTTTTTCTCAAAGCCAAGTTAGGCTTATTTGCTATGGGAGGCCATGTTTTTCCCAGCGTTTCTGGACATACTGACCACACAAGGGAAGGGCTGCCCTTCTTCATAAATTTTGATTGACCTCTCTCTCGTGCTGACTGTGATCATCTGGTGCCTCGTCCTGGCTGAATCTGTCTAAAGTATCTAAGCATGAAGATCTAAAGCCTGCCTTAAATTGTCTGCCATGTTTTTATTGGCAAGAGAGAGAGTGTAAATGGAATGTCAGTCAGGTTTTATGTTTTCATCTGTAGCTGTGAGTTTCAACTGAATAATTTCTACCCTATCTATTACTTTATCACCGCGGTTTTTTTGAATCCCATAACCCAAATTCAAATATTTCCATTTTCTCTAATAAGATTTTAGGACCTCAAATATGTGAAAAGCTATAGCACAAGTGCCACTTCTAAATCACATGAATGACATGAAATCCCTCATACAGTCTTCTTTTTTGTTTCCATAAAATAGTCTCCGATTCCTAAGAAAATTCTGTTTGTTAAGAAGATATATATTATAAATTCTTAGATTTTTCTCCTATTGGTTCTAATGTCACTGTTTCCTGTGTGAGTAATAGATACCAACCCAGTAGAGGCCAGTGGATTAAAATAAATTCAACCAAATATGCTCTCTACAGTTTAAATAGAGTTTGAACATTTGTTTAATAGACCTGTGTATGCCACTTGTAGAATGTACTTTTGTTTTTATTTCTGGGGGAAAATAATAATGAGACCTTTAATGTGCCCCTTTAATAGCTGCAATCTCTTTCTCATGGACTTTTCCAGGTACAAGGAACTATCTTCCCAGCTCCCAATTTCAATCCCATAATGGATGCTCAGATGCTAGGAGGAGCACTCCAAGGATTTGGTAATTTCTACCATCTTTCATTTTACAATTTCTCCCACCTTTCATTGTACCATTTTTGTTTGTTTTACCTTGTTTTAAGACTGTACTATGGGTGTAAATAGCTGATGTTTTAGAAAAGGCAGACATAGATTAAACAAAAATAAACCTGGGCAAAGAAGTAGAATGAGAAGGAAAATAATAGAAAAAAATGGTGATAATGAACAGATTTACCCTGAGATTTGCAAATCTTATCACGATATGTTTGCCTTCAATTCTAAATGCCTCATCACTAACTACTAACAACATGCACACATACCCAGTGTGACTCCAGCCACATTAACTTCTGTGCCACCTGCTGGCCCACAAAACCTTTTATAAAAAAGGAAGACTCTTTTCTTTTTGGAGAAATTTTTGCTATAGGGCACGTGCGCTTGCCAGACAGACAGAGAGAGACATAGAGACAGAAAGCGAGAGATCACTCCCCAGGGGGGATGGTCACGCTGCAATCCCTTCTCCTCCATTCTCTACTCGGGATCTTGGGCATGCAAGCACACGCGCCTGCGCCTGACGTGAGCTCTAAGCCACCAGGTCCAGGACGCGAACCGCGGTCAACTACGTGGGAGTCCAGCAACATAGCCATTACACTAACTGCTGGTTCCCAAGAAGACTCTTTAACTTTAAAGATAAGGTCTTCTTGGGTCCAGCAAATGATGTAATGGTTATGTCGCTGGAGTCCCACATAACTGACAGCAGTTCGAGTTCTGAACTTTGAATCTTGAAACTCACATAGAGTGTGTGTGTGTGTGTATGCCCAGAGTCTGGAGAGGAGAGTGGAGGAGAAGGGATTGCAGCGTGTGCATCTCCCCAGGGAGTGATTTCTTGCTTTCAATCTCTCTGACTCTCTCTCTCCAGCAAATGTACTCACCCTATAGCAGAAATCTCTCTCCAAAAGAAGATAAGGTTTCCTTTATAGAAACTCTGAGTGTGCATGTGCACATGTGTGTGCATGCATATAGGCAAGCATGCACATCTATTTGTTTTATTCACTAGTAACATTCTAATAGGAAAACAATAAAGGACTTCATATTTGTTCTCTAAAATTGACTTAAGGGGATTATGATTTGTTCATGACTTTTGAAATACCAGTCATCACTAGAAAACTATAAGACACAATAACAAAAATTTAAGATTAACTTTTTCTTCTGGAGTGCAATTTGTTCAGAGCAATCTGTTGAAGCAAATATTTTCTTTGCTCCACTTTCAATTTTCCTGTCATTGAATTTTAGGGTCAGAACAGCTCATTTTGATTGTCATACTTTTTTTATTTTATTTTTTTTAACTCGTCAGTGTTTTAGGCTAAGGTATTTCAGGTTTGCAGTTCAATTGCAACTGTGTTCACTATAGCATACCAGTTCAAGAACACACTCAAAGGGCTTTAGAAAAGTCTATCCATCCTGACAACCCTGGCAGAAGGCAATTGAAAAAGACAATTGGGAATGTTTTCCCTGGCTGCTGTGTTTTATTTATGAAACCCTGAAAGTAAAAAAGGTATTTTAGTCCAAATGAAAGTGAGTAGTTTTAACAAACATCATCTTAAGTTGTATAAAAATTTACTAATTAGTCTAAAAAAGTATACTTCTTAGTTAACATTCCCTAATAGTGACAGAAAGAGAAGTGTTTCAAAATTGATTCTCGTTTAGTTATTACAATATAAATTTTTAATAAAATTGTTGAGGTTCATATAAAATTATTCTTAAGTATCCATTAAAAGATATGTAGACAAGAACTGCAATAAAAACTTTAAAAACTAAAGAGTAATTCACAGGGCTAGGACTTAAATAATCTCAACAGAACAAGAACAAAAGACATAAAGCTACAAAATTTATATAAATGCAATGATAGTAAAATAAGATCATGAGAATAATTGAAAACATTTCTATTTATGATTAAAAACATGTTTATTCTGAAATGCCTATCAATCAGTTAAGCAATCATATACAACTACCTACTTTTTTTTGAGTCCAAGGTCTTAACCAGGTTAACCCCAGATACTATGATGCTCTATGCCTTTTCAGTGCAAGATGCATTTTTCTCTCAAAAAACATCTATTTCCATCTTGGAAGCTAATCTGTGTCTTCTTCCCTCTATATTACAGCCTTCAGATCGTTCATATTTCTTACACTTTCATAAAATACCTCTTCTTTCTCTTGCTTCTTATTGGCCTAGTCATCCACGTAAGTCTTAGCCACTTGCTCTCATTCATTAGATATTTTAGTACTTGACTCATAGCCTTCCAGTGATCCTTAGACAATCCAGGATGTCTTTAATTTTTAAAATATGTTTTGCATAACATTTTACATTTTAAATTTACCTTTCTCTCCATCTCCATTAAACATCTCTTATCAAAGAAAAATTACACCAGACAAAATTAAACAGTTGAGGAAGACTAATTTATTTGAGACTATTTTAATAAGTAT